CAGCCCACCCCCGCGCCCCGCCCCACCCCCGCCCGCCCGCAGCGGCCACGTGTTTGCCAACAAGGGCATCGGCGGCACCAGCAGCGGCGTGTTCACTGCGTGCGCGGAGCAGATGGTGCCGCCCAGCGCCGACCTGGTGGTTGTGGAGTTCACGTACAATGAGCCCGAGGACGACCCCTTCGACTCGCCCGCGCGCCGCGGCTTCGAGGAGCTGCTGCGCAAGCTGCTCAAGCTGCGCGGCGCGCCCGCTGTCGTCATGCTGCACCACTACGCCTGGTGGTTCACCTACGGCGACGGCCTGGACGCGGGGCTGTACTACCGCGCCGGAGAGGCGCAGCTGCAGGTCTTCGCAAACGTGAGCGGGTGGTGGCGGTGGCGGTGGCGGTGGCGGTAAGGGGCGGGGTGGGGCCCGCGCTGCGCGCTGGCGTGGTGGGCAGGCGGGCGAGCGAGGGTGCGGCGCGGGGCCGCGCCCGCCGCGGGCGCCGCGCAGCCTCCCGCAGCCTCCGCCGCAGTCCCGGCTGCGCAGCCGACCCGCTGCCCCTGCCGCGCCGCGCTGTGCATGCTGCGCCGCAGTACTACGACATGCCCGCTGTGTCCATGCGCAACGTGCTGTGGCCGCTGATGAACGCGGGGGTGGAGGGGTTCAAGGTGGGGACTGCGCCGCCGCACAGGGAGGCCGCCGCGCCGCGCCCTCTGCATCGCCGCATGCTGGGGGCGCCTTGCCATGCCCAGCCGCTGCACCCAGGCGCATGGCAGGCCGCCCCAGCTCCGTGCATGGCTCAGCAGCGCCCATGCGCCTGCCGCCCACCCACACGCCCCGCCTGCCCCGCCCTCCTCCCGGCCGCCCCAGCTGCCCCCAGCCCGACAAGGTGAACAACGGGGGCGAGGGGCACGTGTCGCCGCTGGACATCCCCATCCCCGGGGCGCAGGCGGGGGAGGAGGAGGATTACTACTACCACGACAGGTGGGGCACACCAGTGTGGTGTGTATGTGTGGGTGGTGGTGTGTGTGGTGGAGGGGTGGTGGTGGGCGTGGTGGAGGTGTCGGCAGCCGGCGCATGGGTGTGGTGGGTGAGAGGCGTCCCGGGCGGGGTGCGTGCAGCCTGGTGGCAGGCTGTGTTCGTGTTTATGTGGCTGGGATGGCGGCAGGCTGCACCCCGGCGAGCCCGGCCTGGCAGCCCTGGCCGCGCCACCCCCGCCCCACGCCCTCTCTCCCTTGCCCCTTGCCCCGCCCACCGCGTGCAGGACGCACCCGTCTGACCGCGGGCACGCGATGATGGCTGAGGCGCTGGCGGGGCCGCTGGGGCGCGCGGTGGCGCAGGAGGCAGCGGCGGCGGCGGGCGGCCGCGCGTTCAGCCGGCGCCGGGATGCGCGCATGGAGGGCGTGCCTCCGCCCATGATCCCCAACAACGCGGAATCGCCCACCACCATCTGCGCCATGCAGGCGCGCCCCCAGGCCGCCCCTGCATTCAATCCAGCGTGGCCCCCACCTGGCCCCCACCAGCCAGCCCAGCAGCGCCGGCCGCGGCTGCCGCTCTGCTGCCCACCTGTGCCAGGGCGCCACCTGCGC